AGATGGAAATGAGAAGTTTGCTTGCATGCAAAAGACAAGTCATCCGACAGCTGCCAATCCCCATTCACAGGGAGAGCTTCCTCAGTCTCCAGGAGAGGAAAGAGAAGGGAACCAACATGTTTGCTTCCCAGGGAGGTGAAACAGGCTCTGAATATTCATAAAATGAATGTCCATTTAGTCATGGGAGTGCTAATTGTCTCTGATTCACAAAAGTGGGTGACCTCACCTGCTCCTCACAACATATCAAAAGGATGCGGCATAATGCAATGAAACCAGATAAGATCCTCATCTCACAAGTTTGGGGGGCTTTCTGATGCAGCCTCTGAAGACTGAAGCGCACTGCTGAGCATTTCTTTAATCACTTCTCAAGTGCAATAAAGTCCAAGCTCAGCGGAGCATGTTATTAGGCAGATAATAACCCCTCCACAGCCAAGATCTAAATCCTGGAGTCATCACACACAAGACAGGTTGTCTGGAAAGTTTTTGTTTACCTTATTTTATTTAAAAACAAAACAACAACAACCAGGGTGTACACACCTCACAGACTGCCTAGAACTGCCATGGAATTCACACTACAACAGCTCATCTCTCTTCAACTGAGAGGACCATACCCTATTGAGCTGCCTCTTCTCCAAAGCACACAGAATAAGGAACAGATTCTGCTCTGCCATGTAGCAGCTGAAATTCTGGCAGCACTTTGGAAAGAAGTGGTATGAACCCTTCCCCAAGGAATACATGAAGTCAGAGTTGCTTGATAACAGTTGTGGCTTGACTTCCTGGGAAAGAAAGCATTACAGAGTCTGCACAACATTTAAATGGAGGATCTTAAAATATCCCACTTGGTACAAAAAATAAAAAATAAAAAAAACCTGGGAGCAACCTTTGGAAGACCTTTTGAGCTCCCTCAGAACATAGCATAACCAAATCAGCTTTTAAACAGAGAGAAGCACCAGCTAAGTTTGGCTCAGACAGGCTGTGTTTGGGTACAGCTGCCGTGCCCCTCCTGGTAGCTTCCCCTCTTCCCAGCTCCTTTAAAGCATAACGTGTTCATCACTGTTGTTCTGACAAAAAAAACAACAACTCGACTGACTGAAACGGGAAAGCACACACAGATTATTTCACTTCCCTGCCCTGACAGAACCCACCATCCAAAAATCTTATCACAGAAAAAATATATAATTAAACTGTAATCTTCTGATATAAACCAAACTGCTGCTCTCAATGATCACAGTCACTCTTCAAAGCCTCTGAGATAAAAAGAATCTTATCGTTCAAATTATTGCTTCTTAGGGATGCTTTTATCAAAGTTAGAAGGAAAATTCTAAAAACAGCAGTGATAGGAAAACGGGAGCTAGCCATATTTAAATGACACTGGATTTTCTGCCAAATTGGCTGATCCACAACTCAAAAAAGCAAGCGTAGATGAAGACAAAGCTGTTGGCTCTCATAACCTTTACAATATCACAGTAAAAATCTCAACTGTCTCACATATTTATATTAAATGGCAGGTCTAAAATTGAGATTTGTAATTTCACAGCATCAAAACCATCACAGATGGCTACAGTTTATGGCTTCTTTAATCTGCCTTCTCTCCCTTCCTGCTTGTTTCCCCCTTCCTCCAATCTGAGTTTAAAGGATGTGTTTTATCATAAGGAAATCAGAACTAAACACAAACCACAATATATTAATTGTGTAACAAAACCATCTGCATAACAATGACGCGTACAAGCAAATCTCAAAATTATGTCTCAACGTTGCCCTAAAGCACCTCAGCCGCGAGATGCGTCACGAGTTGGGACAGCTTCAAGCTCCATCAACAATATTCCACGTTTGTGCTCTCCTAAAGGACAGCCATTAGCACGAGAAGTTCTGGGAAGATCTGTACAACTAAAGATCCACAGCAAGTTAGAGTTCACAGCATACATCAGCCGTCAGAAATCAATCAGCGCTCATCTTGTATTTCCAGTGAACAAGACAGTGCTGAGGAAATACTCCCAAGGCACCTCTGAAGCGAAATAAGCAGGAATTAAACACTCGGCTCTCTTCTGTCCCTGCTCTGGGCTTTTGTGTGTCTACACGTGTGCATGTACATATTCTATACACACTTTCCCTATATTCATATTCCATACGAACCCTTGGAAGTTCAGTGAGGCGATTTATCAAAGTCAGCAGAAAAAAACAGCAGTTGTTTGACTGAAGGACAGGCTTTGTGCAATCGTTTCCAAACACCTCCATACAACACACGCCATTTTTTCCATACATCCTGGTCAAGGTCAGAGTGTCATTAACATCTGCTACGGGAGGCGCTTTAGCAGGGAAGCATCTTCCCATTGTGCTTCTCCTACACAGAGCAGATATTAACTAAATGCAGCTCAAGGAAATATCTCTTGTTTAAAACCCAGAGGGCTGAATGAACTTGAAGCCCAGGCAGCTCTCAGGGGCCGTGTGGGGGATGCGGGTCTGGGAGCACCGACGTCTCCCGTGGCTCTGCAACAAGTGCGGGCCCCGCTCTGCTGCCCTGAGCCTCTTCTGCCCAGCAAGCTTTTGTCAAACATCTAAAGTCTTAATCAATCCTAACTCTGACCCAAGGATCACAGGGGAAGATGGATGAGGAAACGGACAACCTCTGACCTCCCCTTGTATTTGTCCTGCCATAGCCAGCCCATTGAAAAACAATTGGGGTGGAACCCTCTCACCAGCTCCAGGCCCAGCCTGGCATCCTTTTATCGCCTTTCACAAGCTCACATTCCCCTTCCTCCCCCGTCCTTGCTCCAAACCCACAGGAATGCTCCTCATTTCACGCCCCCAGCCCAGTGTCCGGCCAAGTGAGACCCAGCCCAGCTGCGTGGTGGCAGAGGGCAGGACAGGGGCCGGCTGCGTGCCACAGCCGCGGCGTCAGGCAGCACGGGCGGCAGCGCGCCTCGGCTCTGCGGGGCTCCGGCAACCAGAGGAGCTTCCTGGTGAACCGTTCTGGCTGGGGAACGGCAAGCGCTGAAAGAGGAAACCACAAGTAACCACTGATGAAATGGGTTTAGCACTTTCCAATTACTTGCTGGCTCAAGTCCTCCGAGAAGAACTGGCACGGGCCAGCCTGACTCTGGCAAACCCAGGAAGACAGAAAGTTTCCTTCTCAGCTGCAAACGTGATGCAGCCTGGCCCTCCTCCAGCCGTACAGACAGGCTGCCCGGTTTCCTGAGCCCAGCAGGTACCTGCCCATGCACATTCAGCCCCAAGGTCCAGTCCAACGGCAGAAAAAGAGAAAAACAGCCCACTCCCACCACCGCCCACCAGCAAAACCTGAACACCTTCCCTTGCAGAAGGCAGAACTTGTCACACGACAAGCTCATACCACGTCAGGGCCGCTGGCGAGGAAAAGCATGAGATGTGTGTCAATCGGTGTGACCTGGGGCTGACCTAGCAGGCCTTCAGAAGAAGGCACAATCATTTCCATGCAATAAACCAGGATGCTTTTCCCCCCATTCGCTTCCTCCTCTCACAGCCCAGACTGTTAATGTGTCAAGATGCTTTGCCTAGAAGTCACCAATCTATCTGAAGACAGCAACACCTCCTCAGCCTCCCATGGCTCTCCTAAGCAGCGCCCCCTCAGTGCCACATCTGCAGGTTTGCATCTTCAATTGTATGCAGGTTTTTGAGCTTCTGTCTCACAGAACTCCAAAGGCAGTCCCTTACCCCAAACAGGACGCCCCTTCCTGATGCTGTTCATTTCCCAATGCTCACAACAGCCCATGGTAATTTCGTTGCCAACAGGCACTTAAGATTTTTTCCATCTAGCAAACACTCAACAAATGAAGGCAGAGGTTTGCACTCAGAACTTCTTTCCTGCCAAAACTTAATTTCAGTATGCAGTAATGAGCTTCACGTGCAAATTATGATTTAAAAGAAATCAAGTAGGCCGTTCAAAAGACAACATTCTCACAGGAGTTCAGCACAAAGGCAGTCAGACGCTTGCTTTGCTAGCTTGTTCTCAGTCCCCACTAAATAAGGACCTGCTGGATAATGCACCAATGGGACGTGAAGCCAAGACGTTTAGCTCCAAACCACCTTTTCCAAAAACATGGGTACAAATCCACTAAGACTTGCAGCACCTTCAATTCAGCACCTGGCAGAATTCAGGCCACTGAACTGTGCAAAAGCATTTCAAATTTCATCTTCGTTTATGCTTACACAAGCAAGAGTTTAGAAGCTGAGGCCAAAGATTTTTTATTTATAAACTCTTCTCTCCTTCCTTAACCTTCCACTACTTTTTCCAGAAAGGAGAGATGAAGAGAACCTCGGTTTTTGAGGGTGTTTTTCCCCCCCTTTTAGGACAATTTGTCTTTTATATAAACTTTAATCCCTAATTCACCAGTACATAGGATGGGGGGGGGGGGGGGGAGAGCAGACTTTCAGCATTTCTAAGAGTATCCTAGCACCTCCATTATTAAGCTGACAATGGAAACCCTCTGAGAAATGAAAATATTGAACAAAGGCAGCAGTGTCAAATATCAAAAGGTTATTTAGCACTAAAAATTTGCAACAAGTTAAACACCAAAGACTTCCCCTTCTCAAAGGGGGAAAATAATGCAGCTCAAACTGCTGCTGTTCTTTTTTTTCCCCTCCTTTCCTCCTCCTGACTGGTTCTTATCCCACTGCATTATCCAAGGGAAACTTAAAAGAATTGTCACTTTAAATGATGGCAGCTCAGCTGCACTGCTTTGCAGTCACACACATTTTGGTGGCTGTTGCAGACCAATGCAAATTTAGGTGCCTGCTGCAAAATGCATTTTGCCTTCTGCCTATTATGGCAGTATCATTTGTTTTGCATTACATAATTCTTAGCCTTGCCACCTGGAGCTGTTGGACTCCTTCATTAAACCCCTCTGTCCCACTGCATCCCACAGGGGCTGCTAATTACTGGCTTTACTCCATTTACTCTCATCTCCAATCCAATTATGTATTCAACTAAGCCCTAATGAAAAGTACAATATGGCTCATCTTACCTTGGCATTCACCATTGCGTTCTTCATAGCCAGCATTGCACAGACAGTTGCCAATGGGTACCAGCCATTCACCATCTGCCCCGCAGTACATTTTTGGCACGTCCTTCTCTTCCGAGTTGTTGACACAGGAGCCACGAACCTCCACCAGAGAGGATGTATCAGCCCCAGTAATGGTGTCTGGAAACTGTGCCAGGTTTCGAACTGTCAGGGGGCACTTCTTATAGAAGACACGAACAGACACCAAAGCAATGCAGGCACCGACGTCCTGGAAAGCCAAGTAAAACCCTTTCTTGCTGAGAGGGCCCACGTCCCGCACCTCTGTGTTCAGCTTCATGATCCTGTCGCCAATGTCCACCTGGGTGAAGCTCTCATCAGCAGCAATGGTGTCGATCTTGGCAAACTGGCTCTCTCGAATAAAACGCTCCTTGTCATTATTTGATTCATAGTAATAGAGGTTGAAAGTCTCTTTGCAAGTTCCCATGACACCTGGCAGGCTGTTGCAGTCTCTCAGTGTGAACTTGATTTCAATATATACCCTCTGAGCCCCCTCACGGGGAATCCAATCAGTTCGTAACCAATTATTCTGACTGGGCTCCATCACATTGCAGACCTGGTAGGTGCGGATCGGAGTGTTTTTCTCATCCATTATGCTTACTTCCTCCCACTGTCAAGAAGAAAGAGCAGAAATGCGTCAGTGTTCAAAAGAAGCAACAGACATTCACAGTAAAACTAACCTGCCCTTCCACAACTAACAGGGAGATGGCATTTTTTTCTGCTGAAGGAAAACAAATAAATAAACACATCTATCACTCCAAAGCCAGACCTCAACTACTCGGACATTCAACAAGAAGCCCACTGGAGAGAGGCAGGCTCCAAACCCGGTAAGACTGAACAACTCAGCCCCCGGGACCCAACTTGGATCAGGGCACATGCAGCACTTCACAGACCGGTAGCACAACAGCAGCCGTGGTGTTTCCTCTGCAGCAGATGTGAACCCCTCTTTGTACACGAGCAGCAGGCAGCAAAATCACGTGACAGAGATGGAGTAACATCCACATTTCTGGCATCACCACCATGGCTCTTAAACTGCTAAACCAGCCCTGGTTATTTCTGAGAGCATCCAACCACAACGCTGGGCTGGCACCACATTTTAGAACTCTTCCACTCTTCAATCAAGTTCAGGCACCTCCTTCAGAAGTGCCCAACCAACAAGCAACATAATTATGAAGCACCGATACCTGCAATCCAAGGAAGACATGCAAAGAAGAGATCTTGCCCTAAACCATTCCTGGATGAGGAACTTAAAGAGAAAGAAAACATAAGCAAGAGCTTTGGAAACAAACAAACCAACCAACCCCACAATGTTCTAGAGATTGCGATACAAGAAAGTTCACCACAGTGCTTTCCTGGAGTGGGAAGAAGAGGGGCCTTGGCAAGATACTTCTAGTAAAATCCCCACAGTGCTTTGGTTTAAGAGAAATCCTTCTTCACAGAACAACAAGAGCAACAACGAAAGGCAGCATGTATTAGATAATGCCCGCTTGAGTTCGGAGGATATACAAAAAAGCATATAAAAATCATCCTTAGAAAAGAGAAAAAAAAAAATCCATCAGAAACTTTAGAGAAACTTCCCAGAAGTGCTGTTCTGAAGCCACGGCTCCGATAAACAAAAGCCTTCTTAATGTTAAGGGCCTTCTAGTATAAGATCCTGCACTCTGCTCACAAGGACTGCTCATATGAGAGTGATTTTTACTTAAAGAGATTCCAGCTTAGCTGAATCCATTTATAGAAAGACAGCAGTTAGCACCATGAGTCACTAGGAGCAGAGCAAATAATATTTTATTCGCTGCCCAGCTATAACTGCAAATTAAAATGGAAGCAGGGACGGGGCGGGGGGAAATCAATACTCAGCATGCCATGACTTTTCACAGAAAAAGGAAAAAATAAATCTTAAAAAGCCATCTATCAATGTAAAGTGTGACACAGTATTAGTGAGAAGACAGTTATTTAATTTACAGCTGCCACAGAGCCAGTTTACTGTTGCAACATTGTCTTTATGATCCATCAGTTTCTATTCTGCTTGCGACCCGTCTACACTACCTATCCGTGTGTGGTAGAAGAGAAAGGAAGCAGCAGAGGGAAGCAATACTCGCGGACGGGATTTCCTTCAGCACGCTCATACAAAGGAGGATGCTGCACAGGGCTCCACGCAGAGCCCGCTGAGGCTGCAGCCACACTCAGCGAGCCTTGCTCAGGACCTCAGCACAGCCCTGCCTCCCAGCACACAGCAAACGTTTCTTACTTCGTGGACACACAAACCAAATGCAAGCACATCTCCCCGCCAGAGCTGAAAACGACCAGAGCCCCAAGACTTCCAGCCACTGTAAATGGTTTGTAACTCCAAGTACATGGGCAAAGGTTTAATTTCAGCTTGAAAGCAAAAAGTTAACTTTCATAATTCAACTCTTCTCACGGTTTAATGATGCAAAGTAAAACATTCTGGGCACAAAACCTGCTTTTCGACTGTGAAACGCAAGAGAAAATCATTAATGACGTTTATACTGCAATTCATTAATTCCTCCAGGGCTACTATACATTTGATTACAGCCAGGCGTTGCTAAATGGCAGCGTTTATCTCCAACCCGTCTTACTCACGCAGCCCTCACACCTCAGGAACTGGCAGGGGTGCAGAGGCACATCTCCTGGAATAGAGAAGGTGCACACAGATAAACTGGTGCTGAACGACAGGGTCTTCCCAGGAAGATAAAGGAGAGAGTTCACTGCTGCTGCCCGAAATAAATCTGCAGCACACGAAGCTAAAATAAACGCTTTGCAAGCACTGTCTCTCAGAGCAGACCATGTACTCTTAAATTTTTCACTACTGGCTTAAAAATAGAACACATGTATGTAGGTTTAGTGAAACCAGTCACGTCCACAAGGAGAGTGCGCGCTTCCTTCTCCAGCTTGCATGGAGCTTTCAGGGAAGACATGAGGGGAAAGGGAGAATTCAACAGTTAATAGTAACAAAGCCCTACCCGATCATCAATTCAACACTGACTTATTGAAACTTATACATTGGGTCCTACTTTCATCCACAGCGCAGGTTCCCCTTGCAGAGCTGCAGGACAGACCCTGCTCACACAGCTGCCCGTCCTGGGTTGCAGCCCTACAGCCCTCCCCAAGGCAGAGCTGCTCCTGGCAGCTGTGCAGGCTGAGGGCTGCAACCAGTGGGCACCGCAGCGCAGCCTGCAGGGCTGCCGCTCAGCACCGTGCTCCGGAGCTCAGTGTGCCAGGCTCAGCCCCAGCCGGGCTGTAGTCAAGTTCAGGCAGAACAACAACGGAGGAGCCAAACAATCCCCCTTTCTCCCATGCTATGGCTATTCAGAGCTTATGCATAATACGTCGCCAACCAGCACAACCTCAGATTGCTTCCACCCGCTGCTGTTTCCCTAGCTCTCTTCTAATTACAAGCAGGAACACACACACAGAACTAAAACCGTAGGTTCCCAAAGACCCCAGCACTCTGTTGTGTTTGGGTCTGGATCTTTCAGCACTTATTTTTCACCCAGTTTGACTTAGGGTGCTCAAAGAAAAGTAACTAAGCTGCTTTAGTCATCTCATATTAAAAGGATTTGAGAGGTGGGCTTTTTTAAATTATTTTATTATCGTTATTAACGATTAGTGTGCGTTGCCTGCTTTTCTTAAGCTGCTCTCTTTCAGGAAGAAAGCCCCTTCTAACCGCACACTGCGGTGACCCCGCCAGCCCCAGCGCCCCGCGTCCCACGGACCGCAGCAGCGGCTCGCACTGCGGGCACCCTGCCCTCCTGCCTGCAGCCCCTCCGCAGCGCCGCGCGGAGCCCCGGCCGCCTCCAAGTGAGGCTTCTGCTGTCACCGCACCGCAGGGAATCGGAGCGACTCTCTCTTACAATCACCTCTTTATGAAAAGCGCACCGAAGACCCGGGCGGCACAGGTTGCGCGCTGCAGGTACCCAGCGGGAGCCCAACGCACCGCGCCAACCCGACGGCAGCCCCGACCCGCGATGTACCCGCGAGCGGCAGCGCCACAGCGCAGCGCGGCCCGGCGGAGCCAGCCCCCAGACGCAGTAATTACAGCCAGGACCGCCGGTTCAGCCGCCGGATCGCGTTTCTCGTTGGTATTTCACCTTCAAATAGGCACCTAAGCCCGTGCCTGAACCGATCCCTTAATTCCGAAACCTCTTTTCTGCCCTTTTGGTTTTTACCTCTTCCATGACAGAGCCATCCGAAGGGAGTATAGAGTTTCCCCAACAAAGAGTAATTCACTCCGCGAGCCCGGGCCGAAACCCGACCTCCCCGCCGCAATCAGCGGTAATCGCGCCATTAGGGCACTCCGAAACGCACTAATCGCCCCCTTTGCCCCCGCGATCCGATAGCGGCGGACTTACCCCTCCTTCCAGCGGGCTCGCGATCCAGCCCAGCTCTCCCTGCACCGAGCGGGAGTCCAGCAGGGTCACTGCGGAGAGGCAAAACAGCGCGTTACGCTCCGGCCGCACTCGGGAACACCGCGCAGGGGCGAGCGCTCCGCGCGCGAGTCCCGGGCAGCTCCACGCGGGGCTCGGAGCGGGGCGCCCAGGGAAGTAACGCGGCGAGGGGCAGGGCCGCTCGCTGGAGCCGCTCGGGCGGCGCGGGACGGCAGGGGGAGCGAGCGGAGCTCCGGACGGTGAACGAGCGGCGCCTCGGACGCTCGGCGGAGCGCTGCCGGGACCCCGGCGCCCAAGGGCGGTCTTGCTCCCGCTCCCGCCCCGTCCCGCGCCGCGTCCGCTCCCCGGGCACCCGCCCGCCGCCGCTCCGGGGAGAGCCGCGCGAGACGGCGGCGGCGGCGGCCCCGGCCCGGGTGACAGGGGTGAGAGGGGCGAAAGGCACGGGGGCCGCGGCACTCGCGCTCCGCCCCGCGCACCTGTCCGGCCCCGGCCCGCGGCAGCGCGCGGCCCTTGAGGCGAAGGGACCGGCGCCGGCACCGAACTTTCCCGCGGGGCGGCCGCGCCTCACCTTCGTTGGCGGGGTACACGCGGGAGCCGGTGACGGCCCCGCAGACGCCGACGAGGAGCGGGAGGAGGGCGCCGACGGGGACCCCGGCCATGCCGCCCGGCCGCGCCATCCCAGTGGAATAACGCCCGCATGGGCGCGCGGGCATAGGCATTGCCAAGGGGCGGGCCGAGCCGCCGAGCCGCCGCCAATCGCCGCCCGCCCCGCGCCGCCGGCCCCGCCCCGCTCCGCCCCTCTGTGCGGTGGCCGAAGCGGGCGGCGGGGCCGGGAGCGGTGCGGCCCGAGGAGCCCGCGAGCGGGGAAAACGAAGGAGGAAGGAAGAACGCGCGGACGGACAAACAAATAACTGAGTAAAGAAATCACACAAAGTCGCGAGGAGAACCCGCCCCCTCCCGGCACCGCGCGGCGCCCGGGAACTGCGGGCATCGGGCAGAGAGCGGCCCCGCAGCGCCCGCGCCGCCCCACCGCTGGGCAACAGCGCCACCTGGCGGCCGCGCCGAGCGCCTCTGCGGCCCCGCTGCCCCGCGCCGGAGCGCCGCGCGCCTGGGGTCGAGCAGCCCTCGCACCCGCTGCGGTACCGTTGCTGCCATCGCGTTTCTGCCTCAGAAAAGTACCTCTCACTGCTTTAATGTGGGCGAGCTCCGGCAGCGCGCTCTCTGCCCGCCCGTAGCACAGCTCTCAAACTCGCCGCTACCAATTCGGCTCCTCCCGGTCGGGGCCCGGTCTCCCCCTCCCCACGAGCGCCCGTTACGGGGCAGCTCCGAGCGGAACCGGAGGAGCGGGGAGCGACGCCAGCCTCTGGGCCCGCACACGGCGAAAGTTCGGAGCGCCTGTCGGGGCGGGGAGCTGGAAGCAGCACGGCCGTGCCATTGTTAAACTCTGCGCTTCCTGACTTTAATTATCGATGCGAATTCTTGGCTTAATGAGGAGGAAGAGAAGGAATTGTTCCGTTATTATTACACCCCAAAGCAGGCAGAGCTCGGTTCCAATGATGTGAACCTCCCACCTTCATGCTAGGGTAAACGGTGTGGGGTTGCAAAAGACTGGGTCGTTTCTATTGCAGTGGCAGAAACGTCAGTTGTCATCAATTACAACATGCTTTGAAACCTCTAAAATATTCCAAGTATATTGATGCCACTTTAATTTAGAGATTTTTTCAGATAAAATAAACATAGACAATACAAAACAGCCTTGTAAATATAACAACAGAAATGGTCCCAGTTGAACCAAATCCACTGCACTTTGGCTGTTATAAAGATGTGAAAGAAGCCGTGCCAAAACAATTGCTGCTTCCTCACTCAGGGTCACCTCAGCACATACAGCCCCCACGGCCACACCAGCTGCAGCAGCACTCGGGCTGACCCTGCCCACAGCACACAGCACACAGCACACACTGGATCCAGCCCTGGCCGTGCTTGGCAGCAGTGGGGCAACTGATCACAGAAAGATCACTGGTCCCCCCTGCATTCACCATTTGTTTTCTGTTCGTTTTGAAGCGCTGGTGAACACTGTGGTACCCACACAGCATCCCCCTGACAGGTGCTGTGTGCTCAGAGCACAGTCCCACAGCAAGCAGTGTTGCTAGCAGGGCTCTGGAGTATCACACAGCTCTGCACAAGGAGCTGCTCTGCACCCTGCCTAGCTGTGAATGCACAGCCTGGTGCCTTCCTGCCCCAGCAGGATGTGGGGCTGCTGCACACTGTGCCTTTCTCCCCTTTCTCCCTCTGCCCACCTACTCACGCTCGTCCATCTCTCAGAAGCTTTTTGCTGTCAGTCAAGTGACAGCCTTGGTAGGAAGCTCTGTGTGCTTGCAGGCCTCCTGGGGCCCAGCACCATGCTGAGGTGGGGAAAAAACAGGAGGAAAAAGAAGCAGCGGGGGGAGGAAGCACAGATCCTCCTTTAGTATGCAATTCCACAGCCTGCAGGGGAAAATGCACCCGGATCCTCTGAAAAGCTTTTTCCCACAAAAATGTGAGCCATTTACCTCTCTCCCACACAGCTTGCACCCGACCAGCCCCTGCACAGAGGGCACAGCAGCCCCAGGCAGCTGTGTGCCCACAGCCCAGCCCTGCAGGCCTGGCACACACCGTGGTGGCACAGCCAATACCGGCACCGCGCTGCCCACCATCCCCTCCAGGCTCAGAGACCTTTGGCGGAGCTGTGGGCATAGCACATCTGCCCATCAGTCCCCTGACCAAACCTCTTGCAAGCTATGTGCGAGCAGCAGCTGATCCTGGGTCCGAGCAGGATGCGGTTCCCCAGGCTGAGCTGCCATTAGCTGAAGCTGCTGCCAGAGCACAAAAAGCTGCAGGATCCCAGTGAGGAGAGAGAGCATCACGGCATCCCAGCAGTTCTATTCCAGCTGGGATCACAGGGAGCTTTGCTGTTGACCTCAATAAGAAAGAGATCAGACCTGTAGCTCATTTGCAAATCCACTCTGCGAAACAAGTGAGCTTTAGGCACTGAAACGTTATTGACACTTCCTTCTCTTAACCGTGACTATCATCACAACAGTTGCCTATTTACTGCAGCCCTTTTGCTAACGGCAGAAGCCTAACGGTGCAGAAGCCTAACGGTGTGCTTCTTCTGAATGGGCACAAGCCAGGTTTTGGCAGCACAGGGACAGCCGTGCAGGACTCTTCCCTTCCCCAACCAATGCCACTGAGGAGGGCTGGGTGAGCGTCAGTGAGATGTTGTGGGATGTCAGTGCCAAGTGAAGCCGCAGCTGTGACTGCTCTGTACAGTGCAATCCCTAACGTTTGCAGTATGCCACTATCAGGTCCCCAAACAGAAATCCTGTCACCAAAAGCACTGACCATGCAGGAGTGTTTGTGATACAATTTGTGCTGCCCACCATCAGTGAGCACAGAAGGGTACTGGCAAACTGTAAAATGTGAAAAGCAGCTCAGACACAGTGAAGAACAAAAGGAAGAAATGCAGCCAGTGCCAAGCCCGGTGCTGCAGCCCATCACCCAACAACAGGCCCGATGCAGCAGAGCCGAGCGCCCACCTCGGCAGCGCAGGGCTGGGCTCGCTGTGCTGTCCTGCAGGCAGGCCGGAGGCAGGCAGCAAGCTGCAGCTGTCCCAAGTCGGAGCGTGACCGAGAACGCCGTGCATAGCTGTGCAGCCCCGCAGGTTGTTTGCACTGCGAGCACAGATGCTTGGCAACTAGGAGCGGAATGTGCGTGCGTACATTGCACCGAAAGGTTATTGAGAGCTGCGGAGGTTAACAGATACCTGAATGACTACAAAAGGCTTTTGAGCATCGCTGGCATTTGCAGCAGCAAGCAGCAGCGATCAGCCTCCAGCCGCCGAGCTGGGTGGGATGGGCCGTGGGGCCGCGGGGGGCACGGCCGGAGGGCACAGGGTGCAGCCAGGGAGCTGGGAGGGCTGCGCCGCCCAGGAGGAGTCGCGGCGAGAGCGGCAGCCCGTGCCAGAAGTGGCAGGGAAAGCTGATTGTGGCCGTTTCGGAGGAGCCTTGGTTGAATGCGAAGGGTGAGGCCGAAGTCTAAGCGCGGGGAATGGCAAACTACATCCAGATTTCTTTAGAAGCACACACCCATCTCTGCCTGCAGTGGGGAAAAGATCGAGTTCAACAGATGTAGCTTTCCTCTTTCAAGAATAAGGTCGCAGTTTGGGACTTCGCAGCTAGACTCTGGCCTGGTCTAAGATGAAGTGGAGTGAATTTTTGTAGGAATTTAGCTAGGAAACCTGAAGAGGTGGAACTGGGCCCTTCGAGTGGAATAGAATCAATCCTAAATCAATATAAATGCTTTGGATTTGTTTTCCAGTGAGAATTTCAGCTTTCCTGCCATTAATTACGGCAGGTATTACTAAAAAAAAAAAAATAAAGTAAATTTAAAAAGATGCAGGATTATATTTATTGTCCTGATAAACGTTCTGCAGGAATGCCTTTGGATGCACAGATAATTAATTATAAAGCAAAGTCTCCAACCTGTTTTTTTGATAAAATAACCTAAAGAACAGCATGCCGGAGCTCTGACTCATGGTTGCTCTGTGTTTGGAGACAGTGATCTTTCCAGAGATTATTCATGCAATGATGGTACCAATCAAGCTGTACCAGGGACAGGTTCCCTGCGGAGCCCTGAACGTTTCTGGCACTTCCAAGAGAGTAAATCCGAATGAGCTCTGAGTGAGCCATGCTCTCTGAGGTACTCCACCCAGACTAATGAACAAAATTTCAGCAAACATATAGAAGGAAACTGTTTCTGTGCTTACGCTAAGGAACAAAACCAGCCCCTCCTTCTTTATTACTGCGTGCCATTTTTTAGTAGCACGATACAGACAGATTGGTTTTCTCTAGAACAAAATGCAAGACCCTGTTTTTTGTTCTCCTAAAGAAGTGGAAAGCATTTGTGCATTTTTTCCGTGAACGCAAGAGTGACTGCAGTGCTCCCCGAACAGGGCAGAGGCTGGGACTGCCCCCAGGAGGAGAGCTGTGCTCAGCTCTGCACAGGTTTCCTGGGAGACTCAGTCGCTGTCACAGTAAAACTTTACAAGTTGGCTGGAGCTGAGTGCCTGCCATGCCTGCCTGAAAACAGCTCAGAGAGAACCGCAGGCAGCCACTGTCTGCCGCGCTGCTCCCGCAGAAGGGGCCAGCTTCATTCAGGAACATCTGTAAGGCACGAAAGCACCTTTTATACCTGCTGTCTACGGGCCAATCTGAAAATAGTAATGCTGGGCTTATCTCTGTCTGATGCATTCCCTGAGCATCTCTGTCCTTGCTACAGAGAAGCTGCAGGCAGCAAAGAATGGCTGTTTATTATCTAAGAAATGATTTGCCACGTTTTAAGGAACCTCTAGCTGGGGAAAGTGAGTACATACATTTGCATTTGCTTTAGCTCAGTATCTGCATTGATTTTATTGCAAAATATTTCACATTGTAGATTAATTTCACACAAAGAAAACAAAAACAAAAACACATAGAAATGAAAACCTGCAAGAAGAACAATGGGAGAAAAGGAGAGAAAAAAAACCAAAATACCATTTGATTGATTTTATGTCAAAAAGGTGACGGTTATTGTTTTCCTCCGTGCTGCCACTGATCTGAGGAGCATTCAGAGAATAAGGTGAAGTTTGCTGTGCTGGCAGCGCTGCCACTGCATCGC